TCCTAATGATGTGCACTGTAATTCTGCTAAAGCTCACGCCACCAAGAACAGATCAAATAAATACCTACCACGTGAGAGACCATTATATCCTTTAAAATATTATTCATTATCTCACTATAGCTGACAAGTTTATTGTAGCTCTTAAAGAAGCCAATGGCTACATTAATGCATCATATCTTAATGTTAGTAACATTATAAGTAACACACATAATAATATTGTATGATGATTACAGGGTTATCGTGAGAAGAGGGCATTCATTATAGCTCAGAGTCCTATGGAAAATACTGTCAGAGACTTCTGGAAGATGATAGTGGACTATAAAGTGTCTGCTATTGTCATGCTCTGTGGAGAAGAGGTATGTATTCATTGAAAATTTATGTTACACATTATATGCATGTATAATGTACTCATGACATTGCAGGATTGCTGCTATCCATATTGGACTGGTCCAAAGACACATGATGACTTTGTTGTAGAAATTACCAATGAAATAAAATCAAATGGTTACATGGAAAGAATGTTTAAGGTGTCCTTTGATAAAGAAAGCAGAAACGTATTGCAGTTGCAAGTGACAGATTGGCCTCAAGATGGAGTTGTTAGGGAACCACGTACTGTCCTACAAGTTATTGATGATGTTATACACAGACAACAAAAGATTGGAGGAGGACCAGTAGTGGTACACTGTAGGTAAGAGAGAGAGTTATACTGATAGACTAATGATGAGTAATTGATTATTGTGTGTGTGTGTGTAGTGATACAGTGAGTCGTTCAGGAGTGTATTGTTCAGTGAGTATTGGTCTAGAACAGTGTAAGGCAGAAGGTGTAGTGGATGTGTTTCAAGTGACTAAAGCTGTGAGAAGGAGTAAACCAGGAGCTGTGACTACACTGGTATATACTAGATATATGAGTGGGTACTAGTGTATTAATGATATTATCTGTTTACAGGAGCAGTACACTTCCATATATGATGTGATTGACATGTACCTTCAGATGAACAGCATGTATGGAAACTTCTCAATTAACAAACAATAGCAGTATTATACTGATGATATTAATATTTTTATTGCAAATACTTTTAATGTCTCACTTTTTATTAGAGATTTTGTTTTAGTTATGCATTTATTTTCCTGCCGTAAATCATGTAAATTTAGAAATTTTAATTTTTTAATTTAATAATAATTACTACTAAATAATTAATATTGTTTTTGCCTCGAATTTTGCAAAGAATATGCCAGTGCTAGTCGTTGTATCTGTTGTCTTCTTGTTAAGTGTCAGTGAAGTTATTAGTCAATGTCCACCTTCCTCAGGTAAGACACTGGATGTGTATAATAGCAACTGTATAGGTTTTTATAGGTATCTACCTGAGGCATAATGGAAACTGTTATACTAATAATGGATCATTTTTTGCTGACGGTAGCATCAGACCAACTCCTCTAGAGTGTACATTACCTGGTGGGACTCTGAGTGGTGGACAATGGATTGGTCCTAATGGAGTAGTTCCTTGTGATGGTGGTAACAATGAAAATGTTCGTTGTAATACTGGATCAGGTGCTAGTCTCAGTGTTCACATAAATCCACCAAGTTTTATTGGGGCAAATGGTGACGGCCAGTATAAGTGCTGTCTACCCACTAGTTGTTCAACTCCTGGTACTAACATCATCACTGCTACTATATTCAGTAAGAGGAGACTATAATCACTTACTAATGTAATATTTTCATTTGTAGACTTTGCACAGATAGAATCATTTACTGTTGCTGATCTTCCTTCTGATATGACAGTATATCCTCAGGAATACAAACTGAATTGTATTAAAATTGGATTCAGTCGCTATGATATTAGTATGGGCATTATTGGTAGTACTGCACTGGTTGATTACAGTAATTGTGATGACAATAGTAATAATTGTCCTAGCGGTACTGATTTAAGTGGTCCTATTGAAAACACAGTAAGATATACTGTTACTATCACATGGGATGGAATGACTGTCAGTAATGGATCAATCAGTCAATCAATCACTGGAGATCAAATGTATCAGTGTGTAGTGCAAGTTACTGATCAACCAACTAGAACACGTAATGTAACTATAACAGGTAACGCTTATAAACTCTAAAATTTAGTATTACCAATTATTATTCTATGTTAGTTCCAGCAACTGCTCCCTCTTCTCTTACTGAGGTCAGCAAGACAACTACCACTATCACTGT